AATCATAACTTTAATGTTTCTTGGTATCCCGGTCCAGTTGAGTAATAACTATTTGAATAAATACGCTTCGGCTTTATTGCACTAACAAAATCAGTCTCGTTTTATTACTATACGTATACATATATTATTCATATTATTATATTTTACGTTATATTATTGTTGTTGCCGAATTGTCGTTACGCAATAATTCAGCACGTAAGAGCTCGTGAATTTTCAACATTATTGCGCGTCTGCGGACTGATGACAACTCTCGTAGCTGGCAGGCAATCATCGAAGTAAAATTGTCAACTTCGTCAAGAACAGGAGGAGTTGGCAAAGGTGGTCGTGGAGTCTGCAAGGCCTCTGCTATCTGCTTCATCAAGTCTTCTTCGCGCTCAGTACTTTTTCGTTTTCTTTTCATTCCTGAAAATGAAAGAATGACTTTTACATAATAATACATTTTGTATTATTGGACAAAATTGATGTAGCTAGCTGTAATAGTACTAACAAGTGAGATATTCAATTTGTACAATTTTCCTACAATATATATATATGTGTGTCGGTTGATAATTAATGTGGAATTTTGAATATAATGCGGGGTCTACGATGCAGTCGTTACAATGTTACGACGCTGTGACGGATCAATCAAAGAAGAGAATATATGATTTTTTTTCTCTGATTGGTCCGTTGCAGCGTCGTATTGTCATAACGACTACATTGTAGACTCTGCAAAAGTTTTATTTTATTATTGCATATTCTTCTTATTATTCTCTTTCTGTTTTTAAATTTATTTACTTGCCCGTACAGCTTATGAACGAAATACTTTTTGATGCATCAATCGCACCGTTGACTTCTACGACGTCCACACTTTGGATTTCCGTGTCATCATTGCTAGTGTCTTCCTCACGACTCATCATATTTGAAACTGTCCTGAAATACAATAAAATGAAATAATATCAATATTAACTGTTTTTAGTATTGCAGTGAATGCTTTTGTGAAATACTAACTCTTTTTCCAAAGAAGTGTCACGTAAGAAAGACAACAATTCGTAATGTTGCCACTTTCTGCGAGATGGTTTACTTCCTGATCCACTTGGCAACTTTTCAAGAGAGATTATTTTCATGTAACGATCCCTTAAGTTCTTCCATTTTTTTTTTACCTCATCGACAGAACATTCGCCTGTAATAATAAAATCGTACTGTTATATCACTTTAATTCTATTGAGTTTTCTTTAACTACTCTCTTTCTCTCTCTCTCTCTCTCTCTCTCTCACATACACACACAAATATATATACGTACCATTCGTCGCATTAGCCACTTGCTTCCAAAGTTGTTGTACAGTTTGCCTGTCACGTTTTGTTATACTCAGTTTTTGATTCCATAACAGTTCTCGTGCCGACACTTCTGTAATGATAAGTTCTTCCAGGTTTTCCACTGGGCACGGCTCTTGTGTCGGAAGAGGCGATTCTATTACAATCTGCTCTGCTCCATTAATCGCACTTCGGCGCACAATGCTTCCATCTTCTACAAGATATTTAAATTTTTACATTCGCTCAAATAGTATTATATCGGTCACTTTCACCTTTTATATTTTACTTACCACATTTGGGATATAAATACAAGCTATTCACATCAAAAACAATCTCTGAATAATTTGCAAAACATTCATGGGACCATGTTTCTTCATCCTCAAGGTCCCCAAGAATTATTTCGCATAATCCGCATGTGTATACTTTCTGCCATAAAAAAAAAATCAATTATATCACCCGATGTGTCATTCTAAAGTTCGGTTCCAAGTCATAAATGTTTATAAGAATTGAAATAGATTCGTACGCACATGTTACGGTACGTTTTTCTCTTCCGAAACGACCAAAACATACACTTAACCTCCAATCTTGAATTATGCACAATCATATATATTACCTTCGCGATTGTTTTCTTAATATTTTTTTATATTAAACTTATATTATATTTGGATATAATAACATACACTAACCTTTGGAATCTCCACATTTACTCCTGCCATCGTTTCAATTTTATTTTGAAATGTGCACAAATAACCACTCCCGCGTTGCCGCAAGTGAAGTTGGATTATTCCAACTTCACTTGCGGCAACGCAGGAGTGATTCAGAAGCCCCTAGATCTAGTTCTTTCTGAACTGCCGCGCGCGGCAACTTGCCGCGTCCATCAGTAGGCACCTTTATGCTGGTATTACTAACGATAAATGATAAAAACGTCTAATTCTAAGTTAGATTATTCGCAAAATAGTTGATTATATAGTTTCTCGCAAGAAATGATGTTAGCTGTCACGTCCGAGTGACCTTTTTTCCTCCTCTATTACTCTAGGTCTAGGAAGAAAGGGTTAGCTCTCTATTTATTTAGGGCAATCTGCATGCACCGACTATACCCTGAGTACGCCGAGAGCTGGAACTGACTTTTCGGATCTGGGAAATTTTAGGAATAGGGAATGTTTCATAGGAATATATATTGTCTAGGAAAATTAGTATTAGTTCAAAATCGTATTTTCTATTTAGGATATAAGATATGAAATTAAAATATATTATTAATAAAATAAAATATTTTATTATCAAAGATTTGAACATTTAGAATAATCGGTAAATAATCGCGAGTTGAGATTACTAAAGATTTAGATACGTCGGATAGTCGTCGATTTCAGAGGGAGGTTCTAGCGGTCCTGAGCTTACTAATTCTGGTAAGGAGACTGCAGGAAAATTATATTCCTCGAAAGGTGGAAAATCTTGATAGGAATTCTTAGACGATTCTATTAATTCGTTGATTATATTATCAATCTCCTCAAGAGGGATTGGTGATAAGAGTTCTATTTTATGTTGAAAATTGTCAATTGATCCGGAACTTTGAGGTAGGTCAGGAGAGATTACCTCTTGAGACTCAGGTAATTGTTTATCTCTGGGTAATCTCTCTTGAGAATTTGATAAAGTAGTCGCGATTGATCTATATCTCTTAATTATTAAAGGGCGTGAACGCTTCTTCTTACGTACAAGGTTGCGTTTCCGGTTGTCCATTTACAAGGGTATGTTCATCCTTATAGTATTAATTAATTAGTTGTTAGGAAATTATAAAATTAGGTCGAGGGTTAAAAAGATTAGTTCTCATTTGATTCCGCACGGAGATGTGAGTCTGCTCTGTTGTTTCTGGTGACTATGCCTGGGCTGTCGTCCTCCTGGGTACCTCGGTCTCAGGATGGAGTTGGAAGAACAGACGAGCACTGATTTTATATTAATTTTAGTTCTTTATTCCTTTATTTCTAAACAATTTCTAAGTCTGTGACTTATAATCGTACAATTTAGAGTTTACGAATTTAAACATCAGATGAGTTAACTAGAATGATAACTAACATAAGAAATCGCAGAAAAATCTAAGTACTAATTGACACGAAAATTAGATTAACCGCAATCGGCTAAATGTAGAATTTGGAAAATAGTAATACGAAATGCTCTATCTTAAGAGTTGACACGAAGTGCTCGCAGGAAGCAAAATCTGCGGTTTATATACCCTTCGGAGGACCAGGCGTGCTTAGATTTTGACATGTTTATGGTTCCGTAGGAATTCGGTTTGCGTCATCGAAGAGGGGGCGAAGGGTGGTCTATCAGCTAAGGTGGTTCGTTGGCGCAGTATAATTATGATTCTTAATAGACGAATGGGAATTTTTACAATAGTTTCCGAATTGCTTATTTATAAAACGTTAATATTTATCATTATAATTTGTACTAAAGGGTTAAATTGCGTGCCCTAGAAGCCATTACAAAATGTAGAGATTGTAATTCCTTAGGTATTCATTATGATAATAATTGAAATATTTTATTGTTAAAAAGCGTGCAACGTTATTCTGTAAAGGATTCAAGGGCTAGTTTTTGATAGTTTAAGTTGTAGCTCAATAATGATAAAGATAATATTTTGGTTTCTGAATCTTTGGTTCGGCGTAGGGCATTGGCTTCTTTCCTAAAGTTCAGGAATGCGGCAGGGGGGTCATACAGAGTCAAATTACAAGCTATCGTGTCGCCAAGTCGATCTCTACGAACACTTATGTCTAGTGGTACATTCATTGCTCCTTGTTTGGTCTTTTTACGCATATTGATCAATCAATTATGGCATCCTTCAATTATGATATTGATAGTTAATTATGACATACTTCATTAATAATATTTGATATTTATAGTTAATAAAAAGGTCTATAATTATTTATGGATCCATAATTCATTAATGCAATATTGAAAGGTTTACATATTCAAATGTGTACTCGGGTAATTCTTAGTCGCACTTACAGAATCGTGTTTCGTTTCAGGTATGAATTCTGAAAGAATTAGTGTTTCTCTTTTAGTTATCATATAAATTTGACGTGATTAGGATTCTGTAAATCTGACTAAAGAAGGTTGTTTCGGAATTAATAATATATCGCGTTGTATTGTAATTTACTTTAGGAGAGAGTGGGTTAACATTTTTAGTCCTTATCTCTTGTGCTTGATTATATTAATATTTATCGTACTTATTATTTATAGTTTGGCGTTATTGTAATAAGTGTATCGATAAGTGCTCCTGTAAAGGAATATCTGGTTAGTTCCGCTAGTTACATGCTGTCTCTGGGGTCCCTAGATGGTGCCTGATTGGTCGCGTGGTTAGGACTAGATAGAGATGTTTGGTTCCTAGGTAGAGGACCCCAGATCTGGCGATTTTAGCTATTAATACTAAAAATAGTTAAATTAGAGCAATTAATAGGATATAATAATTGTTAATAGTCTTATTCTATGAGAATATGAATAGCGCGCAATAGTTATATTAAAAAATAAAAAATTTTAAAATAGACGGGACGTCACATAGCACGAAAAACTTAGGGTTTCGACCAATGGCGGGACGTCACATAGGCGTACGTAAGTTACGCCTCATGTGACGGCACCCTAATTGTACCCTAAAACTGAACGAACGGATATGCATACATACATATATGCATATACATATATTTACTACACGTATAAGTGGTACTGCTCAAAATATGACAGAGATAAGATGTACGTCATGTACGTTAGACGTTAATTAATCGTCCCATTCACTTATCGCGCTGCCGGATTCTCCCGTAAAAAGTCATTGACATATTTTAATTCATTATAACATTCTGACCAGGGCGCGTATTAACGGCCAGCTATTCGTTTTTTTTCTTTTATACGCTCATTTGCGTTTGCACGCGTAGCACGCAGGCCGGAGGTGTGATTCTGATGAGGCATAAAACAGTAACAACACTAAGAGACGCACATACGAAACACATTGTTGACGTGTTGTCAGTGAACTTTGGAATTTCGCACTTTGATCTTTTGTAGATCCGACGGCTTGGCACGCACAATTTTTTTCACGTTTTTTCTTCGACACCAGAAACGTTAAACTAGGTAAGCTAATAATTAATATATCCTCGCGGTTAGTTTCTAGTCGATTTTCTTGTGAAAAAATTTTTGTACATTATTGCCAGAATTACGGCACACGGAGTATGATAGAAGTTTAAAGTATAAGTTATATATTGTGTTTGTTCTACTTATGTTTTTGTTGAAATACACTTTGTAGATTAAAATAAGGGAGAACTAATTTTTTAACCTATATAGCACGCTGTTTTTTGTAAATTGAGATAATAAAACATATAAACTAATATTTGTTTACCGTCTGCTATTTATTATTTTTTCTGTGTTAACAAAGTATATATATTTAATTTTTTATCATTTTTATATTAATCAGGTATTATAGTAGTATATTGCCTCAAACTCTGATGCTATTAATTTCTTTTCTTTTTGATATCAATTCTTTATACAGTTATATAGAGTTTTGTTGGTTTCAGATATTGTTATGGTATCTGGATTGTTTGGAAGATCGACTTCTAAATAGAATTATATAATATAGTGTAATGATGGGGTTAATGAGTTTCAGGAATTAATACTTGTTGAGCTTTCATTAAATATGACGCATCTGTTACATAATGATGTTTCTTTTGTAATGTGATTCTAGTATAATAAATTGTAGTAATTTGATTCCTAAAAATTTAAGCTTGTACAAGATTAATTCTTATTTTTTTAAATTTAAGCAGTTCTGAAAAAAGAAATAAGTTTTAAAAAAGTATTATTTACTAATATTTATAACTAATGATAAGAATATTTAATATTAAGAATATTATATTGGATCTTATTAATATAACACATATACAAAATGGCCAGTGAAGAAGGTGTATCTTGTATATGTGTAATATTTATAAGGTTTATTAATGTCTTAAGGATTTAATAAATATTAATGAATCTAATTTAGTCTATTTATTTAATTAGAACTTTCATAAAAATGAGGTTAATTAAAATTAAAATTGATTAAAAATTAATATTTATCTTTGCATCCGAATCATTGACACGAATGACATAACTTGACATTTTGTTTATTCTCAAGAGTGTATCAAAGCAGAAAATATATTTTACTAATTATCTCAATAAAACAAGCTGGTAAATGCTATTGCGTACAAAATGTTTCTATATTTAATTTCTATCTTTTTGAAAAAATTTTATTTGTATCAGTATTTGATTATGTTATATAGTATAAATTTATATAAATTTATTTTTATATAATTTATATTTATATATATATAAATTAATATTTATTTACTATACATATAATTTATCACCAATAAATACTAAATAAAGTTGCATGATAAGCCAATTATTACTACAACAATTTAATTGCCAATTTGTATGACAACATCCAGACATCAGAAAATTGTACATAATGCTACAATAATTTCTTTCATCCTCAGGCAAGTTCTTGTTTGCTTGTGTAAAACATACATACATACATATATATATATATATATATATATATATATATACACACATACACACATACACCCAACTGGCACATATAATTAAAGTTTCTTCTTTTCACCATAATAATTGCTATAATAATTGTTATAATGAAATATTAACAAAAAATTAAAAAGCATTATAGATTTCTTTTGTAAATGTGTATGTGCAAATGCAATTTATTTTATCTTATAAATTAAAAGATTGGTTCGTACTTTTGTTGCAGGTAAAAATAGGTGAACATTTATGTTTTCTATAAAAAGTATATAATTTAATACTATTCAATTATCGCCATGGGAGTGTTCACCTCCATGAAGCAATCGTCAGTGATACACCTTATGTTTGCTATTACATTTTTTACATCTGGCTTGATAATAAATTTCTTCCAATGTATTTTATATTTTGGACTAAGGCCTTTTTCCAAGTATCTGTATCGCAAGATTAATTATTATCTCTGTTATTCCTTCTATTGTCGTAAGTTTATTTCATCTCAAATTACTTTTATTCTTTATTTCCAAAATATTAATGTTTTGAATTTCAATTTTACTATAGAATTAGTATTTATGGCGGAATGGTGGGCAGGATCGGACTTGATATTGTATATAGATAAGAAGGATTTTGATAAATATTTCGGCAATGAGCATGGTTACCTTTTAATGAATCATAGTTACGAGACTGATTGGTTGATAGGTTGGCTATTGTGCGATCGCGTGAGGTTGCTAGGCGTAAGTATTCTCTTTTGAGGACTCAAAAGGACTCTTCGTTTATTCATTTATGTAAAAAAATATATTTTTTAATTTTTATTTAGAATTGCAAAGCTTATGCTAAGAAATCGATACAATATATTCCGACACTAGGATGGGCATGGAAATTCGCTGAGAGCATCTTCCTTGAGAGGAGTTGGGAAAAAGACAAAGAGAATATTAAGAATCAAATTAAGGAGTTAGTTGAATATCCTGATACCATGTGGGTATGTATTTTGCTTTTTTCTTTCATCTGTTGCAGGTATATTGACATATATAGTTTAAATGTCGTTTAATATTAAATAATTTAATAAAATAATAAAATATTTGTTTATCTAAAAATAATTGAATTGATTGTAGCTTCTTCTTTACCCCGAGGGTACGCGCTTCACATCAAAAAAATTGGAAGCTAGTCAAAAATTCGCCATTGAAAAAGGTCTACCAGTATTGAAGTATCATTTAACGCCACGCACAAAAGGCTTTACTGCCAGCATTCCGCACATGAGGGGCAAAGCAACAGCCATTTATGATATTCAAATAGCATTCAAACCGTCTGATTCGATAAAACCAACCATGAAGAATCTACTTCTAGGAAAACGGTTGGTGGGACATATGTATGCCAAAAGAATACCTATTGAAGATGTACCCGAGGGAGATGAGGCTGCTGCTGAATGGCTGCACAAGCTTTATCAGCAAAAGGTAGCATATCACTGATAATGCAATCAAAAGTTTTTTTTTGGTTTTTTAACATATTCTCTACACTATTGTAGAGAATACCCAAGTAGCAAACTGACGTCATTAAACATCAAAATGACACACTTGCTACCTGGATATGTGCGAACAAAGAGAATGAATATAACATTTTACATAGATATAATACTTTACAAGTTTATATCGAGTAAAATAATATGCAAAAATCGATTTTTATATTTTAAATAAGTTTACATTAACTTAATGCAATAGGTTTGAATTAATATAACATAATAATGTTAGATAAACTCTGTTTGATAGGATCTTATGACAGAGAGTTTTTATAAGACTGGCGATTTTTTTGCCATAAGCGGAGTGCCTAGGACAGATTCGTTCACGCTAAAAAGAAGATATTATTCTCTCATTAACACTATCTTCTGGGCAATAGTTGTCCTTGTACCAATGCTATATTATCTTCTAAGGCTTCTTCTATCTGGATCAATCATCTACTTCCTTATTGGAATTGCAATTATTTTTTTATGTAAGTAGTAGCTTTTATATTCACTTATATGTCATTATCTTTGATCATTATTGTTAGATTATTGCTTGCTTGTTAATCTGAAAAGATAATTATATTTAAAAAATTAAATTTAATTTATACATTTTTTTAATATAATAAACATGATTATCAAATTAAAATTTTTGAACATAACTGGACTGCGATTATTCGATTTGCTTGCTGCTTAAGAAACTTTAAGCTTATGCATTTTTTTCTTTATTTTTTATATGCTATATTCTTTTAAATTATAAAACACTTTAATATTTTAAATGTAATGTTGTTTTCATGAAAACAAATCAAATTACAGTTTACCTACTAATGTACAAAACGCTCGGAATGTCGGAAATAAGTAAAGGCTCGTCATATGGTGCGGCGGATGCAAAAAAGGATAAATAATTTTAAAGCAATCGTTAATGAGAAAATGAATCTTGAAAATAAGTGTCAAAGTAGGAAACAGGAAAGAAAATTTTCATGATCTGAAGAAAAAAAGAAAAAACTATAAGAAAAGGCCGATATGTATATTTGAGTTATACTTTTATTTAGTGACAAATTCTATGTATGGATTCAATATGTAACATACACACAGATATACACATATATTAAGTACATATAGATATGTGCGTGCACATGCATGCCATGTGTGAGGAATGCATATATGCTGATGTACATGCACTTTTGTGTGCGTGCGCGCGCGCGCGTGTGTGTGTATGTGTGTGTGTGTCTATGTGTCTGCTTATGATATTGTGTGTGTACATACATACATATATACATAATATCTTACTATAAGTAAATATACTCTTTTATCTTTTAAACTAAGAAAGATAGACCACAAAACATGTATGTAAATGTGTGTGCATATACATACATATGTGTATATATATATATATATATATGCACGCATTGAAAAATTGTGCGTACCTCTTTGTTTAATATAAATAGTTTTTATAAGCAATTACTATATTACAATAGAATAGAATTTAGCTTAAACTTTAATTGCATGTACATATATATGGCTATAGTTTATTTTCCTTAGTTTACATTTTAAAAGATATGAAGAAAGTTCATTTATGGGTGAGACATTGTGTGTTGTGTGTGTATGTGTGTGTTGTGTATGCACGCACATAAGCAAATAGTTTTTTACTTTACAACTTGCTTTACTTTACGACTCTGTATCCCTCATTTCTGGATTGATGGAATGTTATTATTTGTATATTTGACAGTATTAAATTATTTACACGAGTTATTTTATTTATATAATAACAATTAAGAAATGTTTTTTACATTTATTTTATTTTAACGAACATAATTTTAAATTGAAACTTTTTATAAAATTATCTAAAGTTTAATGTTATTTTAGCCATAAAAATTTAAAAATTTATTTTTATAAGATAAAATAAAAATTGCAAAAATTTTATTTGTTTGCTAATAACTTCGTAAATAATTTATTACTGTCATATGTAGACTATATTAATAAATAAAAGCTTATTCAAATAAAAAAATTATTTGCTCGAGAAAAGAATATAATAGAGATGACAGCCACAAGGGTCAGTGTTATAAAATAAAGCAAAACATTCACGAAGCGAGGTAATATTGTGTATATATGTATATGTATGTGTGTATATGTGTGGCGCGCATGCGTCCGAGCGTGTATGCTTGGTATTGTTATATAATGTTTATACCTTTTTCTGCATTGGTATTTTTTCAAATATAGCGATCGTTAAATAAATGATTCAATGTTCTCATGTGCATACGCAATTATGAAAAATTGTCATATATTTGCTTCCAATTTTGAATTATATAACATGTATTTATCAGATATGTATTTTAGTATTTTACATCTTGTATAACTCAAAAACTGTTTTAACAATTGTTATTTGTTAACTATCTGGATTATTTGATGTGTACATGAATTTATCAATTGATTTAATATTAATTTTTTTTGCCGATTTATGCTTATGTAATAATCGTAACATAATAAGCAATGTTTTTTTTTATTATATAGAATGAAACATTTATAAAATAATATTTGAACAATTTTATATAATTTAATTTTTTTTAAACGAAAATATTGTTTAGTACAAAGTTGCTTCTTTTAAAGAAGTAAATATGGTAATAATAAAAGAAAAAAAAATAACATTAAGAATATATAATTCGGCCTCCTACATAAATGCAATATATATATATATATATATATATCGACTTATTGGCTATACCGCGATGTTCTTTGCGTCCACGAAAATTAATTTTTTCGTTGGTTTAGAAATAGTATCCTTGGTTTGGATCTCTAATTCCTGCAATACCCCTTTAATTTAAACCCCCTATAAAGCTACAAGGCGAGAAAAATATTGGTCCGAAAATCAGCTGAATCGGGAATTCCCAATATTTTATTCCCAAGGATACTATTCCTAAACGAACAAAAAAATTAATTTTCGTGGACGCAAAGAACATCGCGGTATGGCCAATAAGCCGATATAGATGTATATATTAAAAAAAAATTAAGATTTTTTTTTTCTGAGATTTTAAGATTAAGATCATATCTTCAGAATGAAGAGAAATGATTCAGAATATTAAAGATATTAATAGACAACAGAGGTCTAATCTCCGAGGAAACGAAAGCATATCAAGTCATAAGATTTGTTATATGGTTGTCGCCTTTTTTTAAAATAAAATTATATATTTTTTTCTATATTCTATAACTTTCTACATATCATTTTTTAAAAAAGGCGACAACCATATAACAAATCTTATGACTTGATATATATATATATATATATATATATATATATATATATTGTAAAAGTCTGCGTTACTATTTTTAAATGACTCGAGAGTTAAACGTTAGTCTCTTTCCTTTGGATCCTCGTCTGGAAACTTCTCGAATGTTCTCTGTACGTCAAGTAACCGATGTTTAAGACTAAATTTTAAAGGCGAATTGGATGCCACAAGAGCCCGTACGCACTGCAAAAGGTTCTCGCTAGGATTGGAGCGTTGTTAGGTGAAATTCAACGGACACTGATTTTAGTAATAAAGATTTAATAACGATCGGAATGCTTCTACAATGACACTTCTCGAAAGTACTCTCATGCGCACGATTTACTAACACGTCTGCTCGTTCGCACTTCTCAAAGGAGAGTCGTTCTCCTCGACTTCGAATCTAACGACCTCCGGCCCGCGGTCGCGCTCGCATGCGCGCGCATATCTTTTGGCCACCCTATATGCTACGGTGGCAGCACCGCACGGGTGTCGGAAACGACGCTAACGCCGGACATTGCGTATCGCGGTAATTATTTACGCGCCGCTTACAATATATATATATATATATATATATATTGATAATACAATTATTCTTTTTTCTTTGGTAGTTCTACAGGTTTAATTAACTTATATTGATTAGAAATAACTGATCCTTGCCGGCCATCAATAGCTATAAGTATTTAATCATTTTAAATGAAAAGAACAATAAGAGCACATTAATATGCTCGTAATGAATTTTTCAAATCTAGGAGTTTCAGTGGTCAGAACGTGCCACCAATCCGAACGCGAACTTTATCTGTATTTCACCGATGCTTCTTTTTCTTTGAGTACATTTACACGGCACCTTTAATCGAGTTTAATAACATCCGTAGTTGTAATACTGGCCAATCACAGCCGTTCCATTCTTCAGGGGTATGGCTGTAATTGGCCAGTTTACAACTATGGATGTTATTAAACCCGATTAAGGGTGCTGTGTAAATGTACTCTTTTAAATAGCAAGAAATAGAAGTAAAGGGTGACTGTTCAAGCTGCCAGTTTACTATACATGTATATATATATATAGTAAAAAAACATATATATATGTATATATGCACGCGGTTAGTAAAAAAACATATATATATATATATATATATATATATATACATATGTTTTTTTTATTAGAGAAATACAAATACAGCCTGAGGTTTGTCCATACGGCTACTGTTTATGCTACATAGTATACACTTGTTCATGAAAATTAGACTTAACCTACGACATCTTTAAGCGGGGAGCACACACTCTTGCATAAGCGCATAAGTATATTGTCACGTCCTAGTGACCTTCCTACTCTCTCTATTCCTAGGCTAGAAAGAATGGGGCGCTCTCTATTTTTTATGAGGCAACCTGCTTACACCGGCTATACCTCAGGGACGCCGAGAGCACGGACTATACTGTGGAACTAGGGACGAGTGTTGGGACGTTGGGGATGGGGAATTCTAGTTACTAGTGAAAAAAGGATTTCTACTAGCAATTCTTTCTAAACTATCTAATGAATTTATCAATTAATCGATTGTAATTTCCCCATTTAAATAGTTGTTAATTAATAAATTCAATAGCGAAAATATAATATAACTCTCAAATTTAAGGTCTTGAGAATCCCTCATGGGGTCTTATTATTAAACAATTATTTGAATTACGTGAGTTATCGGTTTCTGTGAAATCTCGCGTTTATCGTGTGCAATGGATCAGGAATGTTATCTAAACAGACGAGAAATTGGTCTTTTATTGTTTGTACTTCGTCCGTAGGATAAAATTGTTCCTGGAAATTATTTTTTTCTACTTGCGATACTAATTCGTGTAATTCCGTGATTAGTACCTGGTCTGAAGAATCGATTTCTGAACTAAATTTATTAGATGGTTCGTTTGGCAAGGATTCTATTCCGGAGTCAGGGGGGATTCCTTTGTCTGAGAGAGGTGATAACTCTGGAAAGTTAGTTCTGAGATCAAAATAATTTAGTGCTTCTATTAAAGAATCAATTGAACCTGGTAATTCAGGAGTCGTGAATTCAAGGGAATTAAGAGGTTGGTTGATCGAAGGTTTGGTCTCAATGTGAGAGGGAGTTCCTTTGTTCACTACGAGCTTATTGTCAAAATTTAGTTGAATAGATAGTCTTCAATCTTTTTATGATCTCTGGAGAAAAGGTAACTTTTTCACACGATTTAACACGAGGTTTATTATCAGGTGACCGTCGCCTGAGCCAACGTAGGGTAGATGCGGCACGGTCAGCACGAGCCTTCTTACCTGCTCTATAATTACGTTTCTTTCGATATTTGATCTTTTGTTTTAATGTTTTCATTTATAATACGTTATGGAATAGTAGGAAAATGGTTATCAATTTAATATAAGGATACTAATGAAGAAGATATACTGAGGGAGTTAATTGAACCAAATCTAATTTATCAGAGAATTTATCAAAATAATATTTGTTAAATTATTGACTCCTGGTATCGTTCTATTAGGAAGGAGAGGGTTGAGGAAAAAAAGCTATATCGTGGCGGCAAGGCGCGCGACATAGACAATGGAGTAAAGGAAAAAGCTATATCGTGGCGGCAAGGCGCGCGACATAGACAATAGCGCTCTTAGAGGTGAAAGAAATGTCTACAATACAGTGCAGCGAGGTGCACGACATAGACAATAGCGCTCTTAGAGGTAAAGGAAATGTCTACAATACAGTGCAGCGAGGTGCACGACATAGACAATAGCGCACTTAGAGGTGAAGGAAATGTCTACAATACAGTGCAGCGAGATGCACGACATAGCCAATAGTACTATTAGGGGTGAAGGAAATGTCTACAATACAGTGCAGCGAGGTGCACGACATAGACAATAGTACTATTAGGGGTGAAGGAAATGTCTACAATACAGTGCTGCGAGGTGCACGATAGACAATAGTACTATTAGGGGTGAAGGAAAGTTGGTGGGAGAAAGGTCCTTAGTGCGTTATTCAGAACTCGGGGCGATAGAAATATGAGAATGAGAATGAAAGGAGTTATTAGAATAATAACAGGAGATCGGTCTTTAAGTTAGAATTTAATATCTAATATTGATGTATAGGACGATTGGAAGAAGATTGGATAATGATTGAAGGAAATCTGCGCGACCTTCGAAACTCGTTCGAATTTTTATGTATGCCGGAGTGTTGGATGATTTGTGTGATTAACAGACTCCTACCTTTAAAACGATGAACTCTTCGTAGACCTGTGATGTGCCTGGCCAGCTTCGCTCCCTCGCAAGGACCTCGGTCGTGGGGTGCTTATGGCGAAATCAAACGCTCGGTCGTACGATGCTCTGAAGTTCTTTATTCGTCTTTAAGCCGGTTACAAATTGTGCGCGATTAAAAATTAAGAAGTCAGCGAGTTCGACGGCTAACCCGTGACTTGAACAATATACCAAGTTACAAATTTACGCGGGGTTACTACGATTAGGCGTCGTTGACAAAGTTATATTAT